GTGGGGAGGGGGGTGGGGTGGGTGTGTCGATGTGTTTAGATCTGTGTGACAAAGGACAGTGAGGGCAAGGACAAAAAGGGACACAGCCAAAAACCTTAACAGTACTCAAACTTAACAGTAATTTAACTTAACTTGTATCTTAAACTTAATAATTTAACAAAGGAACAACACTTAAATGATACCTAACTTAAATGATACCTTAAACTTCATTTATAATGTAACCTTTACAACTTAACAGAGGAATAGGTCTTAGCAGCATTTAACCTAATTTATAAGTTTGAAGTTACACTTAGCAACTTAGCAAAAAAACAACACTTAGCAGCATATAAGTAAGGTCAAGTCTTCAGTCACAAGCTTACTTACAGGCCTAACTTTCAAGGTACTTAAACTCTAAGAAAGCAGTATTTCTCTCAGATATGCTATAGCACATGCACACATGCATACAACAAAGACAGAAAGAGTCAGTGCAAGCAAGGTACCTGTGAAAAATTCCCCTTGGAGATCAGTGAAAAACTCACTTCGGATGCTTTTGCATTTCCTGACATGTGAAGGATCAGGCCTCGAGGAGCGGGGGCATCAGACCAAGACTTGTTGCTGTTCGGCGATCCTCCAAGTATAGCAAACTTGAGTGTTCGCTGCCTCAGAAAGGCATCCCTCTCAGAGGGATACTGCTGGTCACAGCCTACTGAGACCCAGCAAAGCTCAAAGGGTTTCATTTCGACTGCTGTTTTTCATTTCGACTGCTTTTTAAAGACAGTAGGCTTTAGTCATAATGTTTCATCCTGGCTACAGTTTGGATCACCTCTTTCTTTGAATGTGTGGGAACAGGAATGTTGTGCCATTGAGGCAAGAAAAATACTTTCCAAAGTTAATCATAAGGAAAAAATGAGCTTCTTAAACAACAGTTCCTGGGAGCAGACCGTTTCTGATAAGCTCAGGAAAAGCTGAGCCCAGGTGCTATTTCCAAGGCTGAGGCCTAATGAACATTTCTTAGATCACAGTGCAGCCTGGAATGGGGGAGAGGGGGAATGCACCACTACAGGTGTCCATAAAGCACAGGCTGATTTACACCTCTTTACATGAATTCTGCACTACCTTGTACACAACACCTGTGCTACATAGGCAGGTACAGGGCAAAAAGAAAAAGATTTATAAAGGTTATGTGGGAATTCCTAGAAATACTTTGGAAATGCAGGTGGGAAATTGAGAAGTATCCAGCAAGGCAGTCTACCTATAAATTCAGTAGTAGTAAGACAAAAAGAGAAGTATATTCTGTTGAATTTACAGAGGCTCAAAGCATATGTTTCATACAGTGGTATTTGTTTGTATGAAGGCAATGGTGTGTTTTCTGGGACTGGTGCCTAAGAGGCTCAAGTGTCTGTGTGTGAAACAGATCTGTCACCTTACAGGTCACAACAGGGAGGTAGTACAGAGTGACAGCCTTACCAGTGATTTAGCACCAAGACAAAGCAAAGTATTTCCACTAGGGCTGCTAGTTAATTGTTTGCTCTTGGGCTGAGACTGCTGCCAACATTAATTCTCTGGCTACCTGTGTCAAATCTCCTTTTGTCAGCAGTTCAAAGATGGTACGTATGTACAGGATGCTGTACTGAAATTGAACAAATGGTGTTTCTATACTTCCAACATAGCAGCAGGAATGCATCACCTTTGAAATACATCACATCAACAGCATTTGCACCTTTGGCACCCCAAAAATATGGGTACCACAGCAAATCCTGAAGTTTCAGATTAGACACAGCCTCTGCAACAGTCTTTTCCTTCTGCAAACCTGCAAGTATTACTGTACAACAGGCACATTAAAAATAAATTTTGCGTGACTGTTACTTGAAGAGACCAAAATAATTAGCAAATAAAAATACAGTGTATGGAGATAGCCACCAGATGGTAGCAAACACGTAGTGTAGATGTCTGTAAGATTTTCTCAATTATACTGGATTTCTTGAAAGAGAAACACTCATATACATGTTTAAACATGTGAGCTCAACAAGCTGATCTATAAAAATACGAACGAAATTTTGAGATACTGCTCAAAATTTTCTACATCAAAACCCACCATTTAGTTATATCCTTCATGGTTACTTTGCTACTGTTAGCAGAACACATCCTTAGTGTTCCATCTGACAAACAGGTGAGACAAAAGATGATTGCAAAATTCAGCAGAATGATTGACAGTAGTCTTCAGAAAACTGGTTGTTGAATTTTCAAATTTTGTCCTCAAGTCTAAAGTCAAGAAGACTCCAGTGCTTACTAAATTGCCTAACAGCTTCTGCATAAAGATTGTAGAAGTGAATAATGTACAGTGAAAAAAAACCTCTTCAGGATCTTCAAACACAACTCTATGCTAATATTTAATTGGTCTCACCAAAGCAGCAGTGAGACCCTGGGCTCTAGACTGTTCTAGACAAATATAAAAATGTACCCTTTCTCATAGAAAAATAAACACTGACCTCCTAATCAAAAATGGTAGTTCATTATATTTCTGCTGGCCCTGATTCACACAGCTACAGGGACTGCATGATACATTGATGGAGAAGGAAGACTTGCACACCAGATGATGAACAACAAGTCTCAAAAGTTTATTGGATAGGCACACACATTTATAGCAGTGTTAATAAGGCTAATGCATATTGCAAAAATTGAGCTCATCATTGGTTAGTCATTTATCAGTCAACTACGTCTACGTTTACATTCTTGTGTTCACCTTGTTATGGTTTCTACTATCGTTCCTTCATTCTTGCTAGCTAACGAGCTTCTCCCACAACCTCAAGTTTCGGCAAGGGCACAGTGACCTTTTATCAGGCCGCTTTTATCCTCGTCTCCTTCTTGCTTCCAGCATGATCTTTGTTAGCTAGCTAACTATCTACAAAATCCTCTACATTCCTCCTGTTTGTATCTCAGGCAGATTAATCTGGCTGTGGCCCTTATCCAGGAGCCAGCTTGTTACAAAGCTCTCAACAATACATCTGTGGTCAGTATCTCCCTAGACATTAAAACAACATATCATTTAGGAAACAAGTCTTTCCAAAGCTGAGTGTATGTATAAGGGAGACTGCATCAGGCCTTTTGGGAACTCCCTTTGCTCTTTGGTTCTGGGTGAAGTGCCAAAGCTTACATCTGCAGGGGTTATCACCACCAGATGTGAACAAACAAACACACAAGCAAACCAAAGCAAAGAAACCAAACCAACAAACAAAAAACAAAACAAACAAAAAAACCCCACTCCAGTTTATGCCATACCACCACAAAATTAATGCTATTTTGTATGTAGAACTCTCTGATTCAAGAATTGAAATATTGACAGGAAAGAGGATGATAGCTTTTGGAGAGCTCACAATATCACTGTCATCTCTGCACAAAGGATGCTAATGCTACTTTGCTTTCCAGATGTCTCAGGCCTCTAAAAAACTTTGTGTCAGAACCATGGGATATGATTTTGGATCCTTTGCTTTTAAAACTTGAGAAAAAAAAACGTTTGGGGTTCTATTTACTTGGGTATATTCTTACAAAATTACTGTCTCCAAGTTCTTTTTTGGTCCTTATGCTTTTTTGGATGTCTTTTTTGTACTTCCTCCCTTGATACTCCAGAAGCAGCCAGCAGAGCTGTTGGGCAAGTATGTATCCACCATGACACTATCTCATCAAGCCTCTACATTAAGTAATGTTCTGTCTGGATTGCTTTGTTGTTTTCTGACAGCTGGAAAGATGTAACTTTATTAAAGATAATCCCTTTGTCCTTTTCTACCACCTCCCTTGTGAGGACAGGAATTAACAGGTATCTGCGCCTGTCCTCTTCACCGTTGGCTGCAGTTTTCCTTGAGAAGAGGTACTGTTCAGGTCACCGTTGGCTGCAGTTTTCCTTGAGAAGAGGTACTGTTCAGTCCATCATGTTTCTAGAAAGTTAAATTGTTTCATGGGGACTAATTATACAGACAGTAGAAGTAGTGGAAAGTGTAATGCTAGCAGTGCTAACCCCATTATTGAATTTGTATAGGAAACAGACAGCAAAAGACTATTTGGAGCAGCAGTGATAAATTTATTACCCATGGCACAGTGATGCAATCCTGCTGCTCTATCTTGGAAGAGGAATCTGTGCAACTTTTGAAATGTAAGTATGTATATAGTTTTTTTGCCTGTTTATGGCATGCCAAGGATAATTCCTGAAATAAATTCACAGTCCTTTGCACAGTCATGGACTGCCTTAGGTCCAGCAATAAACAAGCACCTTTCATGAGCTAGCAGCTCCGCAGCACAGAAAAGCACAGCTGGCCCAAAATAGACTAGAGCTGTATCAGATCTGCATGTCACCCACTGCGCTACCCTGAATAGCTCTTTGTGGATACCACTTTTAGAAGTGCAGTCAGACTTGGCTCTGAGACAACACCCATAGGCCTTTATAGACTTGAAGGGTCTAAAAATAATGTGTTTGGAATAATGTACTTCAACTAAGACTGTGACAACCCACTGGAGCATATCTCAGTACAGACCATTTCTTTTGCTGCCTGAGAGCAGTAAGCAGGAACTAATTGCCTTGATTGTTTCTCATACCTAATTGTGTGAATTTGATTTTTAAGACCCTGGTATCAACTGCATATACAAGCAATTACAAACTTGAGAACCATTTCCCAAGCTGTAGCCGCCTAGAGAATTTTGCCTGTTCCAGTATACTCCAGGACAAAGGGAGAACACAAACAGCTTTTCACTTTTCCCCCACCTCCCCCCACAATGGCTGCTCAGCAGTACTCCAAGCCTTCAGCCTTATTACTGGGCATGATCTGTGTGCTACTCATGCTGCTAATATTACACTGCCATCACAGAAAGAAGGAAATTTTCACAAACTTCTCTTATAACAAAACCACCTTGTCAGGAAAAAATTGTTGAATACTGTAACTTGATAGTCATTGTAGCAAATCTGTACTAGGCAAATAATTATTCTACTGCGTAAAAATCACAGAATTGCAGAATCTTTTAAGCTGGACAAGGCCTCTGAGATCATCACTCCTAACTTTTGACTGATCAGCACCTTGTCAACTAGACCATGGCACTAAGTGCCATCTCCAGTCATTTCTTGTACATCTCCAGGGATGGTGACTCCACCTCCCTGAGCAGCCCATCCCAACACTTAACAATCTCATTTATGAAGACATTCCTCCTGATGTTCAGCCTCAACCTCTCCTGGTGCAGCTTGAAGCTATTTCCTCATGTCCTGTCACTTGCTGCTTGGAAGAAGAGGCCAATCCCCACTTGGCTCCACCCTCCTTACAGGTGGTTGCAAAAAGTTATAAAGTCATCCCTGAGCCTTCTTTTTTCCAGGCTAAACAACCACAGTTCCCTCACCTGCTCCTCATCAGACTTGTGCTCTAGACCCCTCACTGGCTCCATTGCTGTGCTCTGTGCAGAGCGAAACTACAGCTGCATCACACCATTGCTACACCTTACTCTTAAAACATAGTGATAAAGAAAGACATCAGTGAGGATTATAAACTGGTGGGGATGGATCACTTCTTTCCAATGTAAGAAATGCCCCTGGTTCTTCATGTTTTATAAATAATTCACAAAAGAGCCTGGCCTGTTCACTCCATGATAATTGCACACTGAAGCTGTGCTTCAGATGAGAGAAAAAACAACCCACTGAAACCCAGCCATTTCTAGTAACTCAAGCTGTTACAGTACTGATCACAAAGCAAATAAAACTGGT